TACGGCTGGAAGAACCATCATTAACATGAACAAACTGGAATCTGTCTGATAAATATGATTTAAACCGGTTCAGCGCAGTCCCTTTAAGTCCAATCGCATGTTCCAGTCTCTGTAATAGGATGCAATGATCAACAGTATCAAATGCCGCACTGAGATCCAATAGAACCAGAACGGACACTAGTCCACTATCTGAAGCTAGAAGAAGATTGTTAGTGACCTTCACCAGTGCTGTCTCTGTACTATGATGGATTCTAAATCCTGACTGAAACTCTTCATTCAAACCATTTACATGCAGATAATCACATAGTTGGTTTGCCACAACCTTTTCAAGGATTTTTGAGATGAAAGGAAGGTTGGATATTAAGCTGAAGTTAGACAGAAGCTCTCCATAACATGTCTTCCTCTATTGCTAGTGCACTGGTGCTCAGAGGACATAAAGTTAGAAAAAAAACATACTGCTAGTGTTTTTATTACGCTGCATGAAACCCTTCACAAACAATTTCTTCTGTTTGATCCTGCAATCTGCTTGTTGTCACATTATTGTACAGGACGTGATCTGAAGAGGAATGCAGCTAAAACAGAAGCAAAGGTGAGATCTTTGCATTCTCTATAGTCATTGTCATACAGCAGTTTTCTGTGTCATAAATAATTTTGCAGAGGAGTTGACACAAGTCTTGTTCTAAATTGTGGTCTTGCTCATCTATTTGTCATTGATTTAAATTGTTCTTGCATTATAAGCTAAATGTTAAAAGAAAGTATTTGCTCCCTCAGAGTGATGCAGTGAATGAATGCGATGACGCTGAACCCTCAGAGAAGAGCAACAACAGCGCTATAACCAACAGGGCAGGTAAATTTTTGAAGGATTTTTTGTAAAACAATAAAACAACACAGCCAAGAATAGAAGGAATAGTGACAATAGTATGTTGATTTGGTCCTCTGGTTACTTATGATCCTGCAGGAACCTCAAATGAGGACTTCACGAGGAACAAAGAAAAGGTAGGGAAGGCCATATTTATTTCATAACATTGAAGGATATTCACTCTCTTCAGTCACGACATTATATATTTTCTTTTTTACATACCGTATGTGTTCACTCACCTATTTACGGCAGCAAGAGAAGGCTTCTGAAGAAATCAACAGAAAGAAACAATGCCAAAGGGAGACTGAAGCACTATTCGGCAGACTTCACCTTCAAGAACGACGACAGCAGAAGTTGTCATCGGCAGACGTTCTTCAGTTAGTTCCATCCGTGAACCAGCACCATGATGTGTCTGAGAAAGATCTTCCTCATGCTTTTCTTCAAAGGCTGATGATGTTAGATTACAGGGCCAGATATATTCCTGTAAGACCAGACAGTCCTGAGGTGGTCCATCCAAAGCTTGAGCCAGTGCTTAAAACCACCGAGACGGAGGACAGTTATTTAGAGGCTTTTTTGAGCACCAACACAGACACACATCAGACAAGAACAAGTCATGTGCATCCGATGGATGTTCAGATGGCAGTATTTCACTGCTCAGACAACTTCCTCAAGCAGATCATAATTAAAAAACTGTCACAGTGTCAGTATGCCTTACCTTTGCTTGTTCCTGACCCATTCACAATGGAGATAGAGTGTCCTCTGTGGACATTTAGACACATAACCAAAACCTGGAAAGTCACTCAAACCAAAAAGGAGCCACACACGGTCACCATGAAGAGTATTCCCATCTGCAAAGCTGAGACACCCTTGGTGTCATTTTTCCGACTTGGTTCACTATCGGTGTCTAAATCTCAACTGATGAACACTCTGATCAACGACCGTCACAGCACCTTCTTCCACAGACATTGCCCAGGAAGCACCAAGTCTCGCCATTTGATGGATGGCGTTGCAGAGATTGCTTGGTACTGCCCTGCTGGAAAAGCCAATGATGCTTTCTGTGACTGCATCGCCTTTTGTAATCTTCACGGTGACGCTCTGTCAATGGAAAAACAGCGCGACATACTGATTGAAAAATCTTTGGTCAATGTTGTTCTCGTCCCAACTATGCAAAGAGATGACAGAAGTCGGTCACTAGGATTCAGATCCTAGTAGATGAACTCTCCACAGATGATCTGTCTACAATTCTCCAGAACTATGATGAAACATGGTCTGAGGTCTTGACTTTAAAGAACAAACATGACTGTCACAACCCAGCAAATAGGTTATGGCAAAAGAGGGGAGACGACACAGGTAGTGCCAGATTTCACGTAAGCTTTTATTAACTAGTTAAATTAATACTTTCGAAGTGAGGTGTGTACGTCAGTGATATCAGTAGGGTGGGTGCGGATGGCTGGATGCCGGGATGCAATGTGGTGCGAAGTGTTGTCTGATGTGAAAACCAAACCAAAATGCCACAAACCAAAGTGAGGAGGAGAGAGAGTAGGAGCTAACAGGTTGGCCCTTTTGTAGCCTGGGAGCACTGCCCAAGCGCGCCACGCAGGTAAGACCGCCCACTCCAGCAGTCCAGGGACCTGAGGAAGCAAAGCACAATACAGAAAGCCAATGTGTTCAACTGATATACTAGCGGGGCCATCCCAATGGATATTCCATTATTGCAAAAGTTTTGGCATGAACAACACCATCACGTTCATGCCCCCGTGACACAGAGTCAACCGCCAGGACCGGGCGTACAGCCTCCTCTACCCAGCCGTCAGAGGCACAACTGTCAGAATGGTTTTTTTTTTCTATTTTGGGACGCTCTTAATTTCTCCCTCTTCCGCTGGGTCTTACTCATGGCCTGCGTTACCACAGCTGAGAATGCCTCCGGTGACTCACCGGAGCTCCCAGCCAACTCAAGTGGATACAGTGAAACAACAGGTGCGCCGGTTGAAGACACCCTAGACACAAAACCACAGCCGAGCTGAACACAGCTGAGCTGTGGGCAACAGAGGAGGGCGGCTCACGAGTCCAGACCTGATTGCCGGCCAAACCATTACCCAATACATAATGCACTCCTTCTATACGCAGCGCAGTACGCACACCTACCGCCACCTCGCCCTGCACCAGCTCACACTGGAGAACTACCCTATGCAGAGGAATAGGTAGAACAGTCAGCCCCATTCCACGGCTGAGGATTCGGCCACCAGTGCGACTAGCAGAAGTTAAAGGCTAAACAGAACCCACTATGTAGGAGTCGTAAGCCCCTGTATCCCTCAAAATTTTTTTGGGAACCTTATCTTCGCTACCTACCAATGATACAAATCTGCCTCGAATAAACGGCGTATATGCGGCCAACACGCCTGTTTCAGACGGAGCAAATCCGCGCTCTTTAGGGACGCTCACGGAATTTACAGGCACGGCTAACGCGGCAGGTTTAACGACAGGCTCACCTTCCTGATTTCTAATCTTTAACACCGGACAATCAGCCTTCCAGTGGCCCCTTTCATGACAACAGTTGCAGCTTATGTTAAACTTAAACTGCCCAGGCGCTTTGGTGTCTGACCCAAACTAACCAAGTGTCCCCGAACACCTCACCTCAGCTGCAGCACCCCTGGCTCCCCAGCCAGCATCAGCCCGCGGCACGGTACACTCTCCAAAGCTGTCTTTATGGATGAGAACAAACTCATCTGCTGAAACAGCAGCATCAGCAGCCGTACTGACATCACTCTCGTTAATGTACGTGGCAATACGATCCGGGAGCACGTTCTTAAACTGCTCCAAAACGATGAGATCGCACAGATCGTCAAAAGTAGAGACATTCAGGGTGGATATCCAGCGTTTAAAGTGTGTCTTAAGATCTCGTACGTATTCAACGTAGGTCTGGTCAGGTGTTTGTTCCACGACCTAAAACGTTGCCGATATGCTTCTGGCACAAGCTTGTATGTTTTCAGCACTGCCGACTTTATTTTCTCATATATGAAACTGTCATCCATACTTAAACATGAATATGCCTCTTGTGCTTTCCCTGTGAGGACACATTGAAGCAGCAAAGTGCATTCCTTATCGGACCAGTCTTTAGCCTTACAGACACGCTCGAATAATGAGAAGAACGTGTCAGGATCCTTCTCATTGAACGGAGGCAACCAGCGCAGATTACTGACATCAAAAGATTGTATTTCAGGTTTCAATACTGATCAGTTATCAGACAAGCAAGCTGAGCTTGAACACATATCAAAGAAACTACAGTCTGCAACTTTTGGCTTGGAGCACATCTTCAGAGAAATGGGACAGATCTATGAAGCCCATGAAACAATGCAAACAGAGAGGATTTCAAGTCACTTCATAAACCAAAAAAAGAAAAAAAGAACAATAACCATAATCACGTCCACAAAGTGGCTGCAAGGTGGCGCAGTTGGTAGCACTGTTGCCTCGCAGAAAGAAGGTTGCCAGTTCGCGTCCCAGTGAGGACGCCGGGATCTTTATGAGTGGAGTTTGCATGTTCTCCCCGTGCAGCGTGGGTTCTCTCCGGGTTCTCCGTCTTCCTCTCACAGTCCAAAAACATGCTGAGGTTAATTGGTGATTCTAAATTGTCCGTAGGTGTGAATGTGAGTGTGCTTGGTTGTCTGTCCAGGGTGTCTCCTGCCTTCACCCAAGTCGGCTGGGATAGACTCCAGCCCCCCACGACCCTAGTGAGGATTAAGCGGTATATGGATAATGGATGGATGCACCAAGTTGTTTACAGTAGGATTTGTAGAAATAACATGTTCTGCAGATAAAGACAAACACAGAACATGTCTTTCACAAAGCAATCACTGCTTCAGTGAAGCTCACTTTTTTCTTTATATTTTTACCATTTTAAAGTTCTATGCAGATAAAGCATGAAATATGTACATTAAAATTGTATGAAGGAGCAAATTTTTAAGCATTAAAATTTGTGAGATGTACTGAATGATTGTAATGTTGTATTTTCTTTGTATTCTTTTATCATGTTGTAGTTTTGACAACGTGCATGGTCCCAGCGTTTCATAGTCAAGTCATTGTCTGTTTTGTGTATGACCTCGTTTTCTGCCTTTGACCTTGCCTCTTGTCTTTGGATACCTCTGCCTTACTTACTGATCACCTCTGTATCGAATCCTGCCTGGTAATAAACCTGCTTTACTGCCTGAACCTGACTGTGTTATGCATTTGTGTCCACTTCCGTTCCGTGCTCGGTGAGTACAACTACAACCACTGCTGCACCACTGACCCCGTTACACATACATATCATTTAATCAGTAACGTTAACCATCCGCTCTTGGCACGGATGGATTCTGTTGATTACTTTACTCACCACAGGCGCTATAAAACAGTCCTGCATTATGTGGTGTCCTCGTTGTCAAATAGGCTGATGTTCCAATTACACATTAACCACGAGTCCGTACTACCAAGTATCCAAGTCCAGGAGACAGCACCGAGAGCAAAGCCGAGCTACAGTTTGGGCGCATCGCTCTAAGTCATCGTATAGATCAAAGAGCCACATTAGTTTTGGTTTCGGCGCAAGTGCATGTCATCGTTATAAAGTGATCAGTTTATTACTCAGTCAGCACAGAGGCCAAGGACATTTGGACCCAGTGTAGAACCGCCACTGGTGCAGTCTGAATTCTTATCTATTGTTCTATTGTTCAGAAAAACTGAAATTAGTTTAGGAAACTGACAAAGCACTGAAATATAGCAGTGTTTTTTTTTTTTCTTTCTTTTTTTGCCAAGTGGAATTAAAGTGATAACATACTGTTTTTTTTTCACTGAAAATTATAGAAATAAACAACTCTAACAAATAAAAATTAAAATGATTTATTGTTTATAGCACATACATGATACATATATATTTTTTAAATTATCTATTTTTATGGCACATACAGATTTTTTTCTTACTTACTATTTTTGTTTGAATATTTAACATTTTTTATTGCACATACTGAGTACTTGCTATTGTTTAAAGATTTTGAACTTAAAGTGATTCGTTTTTATCATAAATACAGAGTATTCATCCATCCATCCATTATCTATACACTGCTTAATCCTCACTAGGGTCATGGGGGGCTGGAGTCTATCCCAGCTGACTCAGGGTGAAGGCAGAGGACACCCTGGACAGGTAACCAGTCTATCACAGGGCTACACAGAGTATTGTTACATTAAAAAAATATAAAAATTAAAGTGAATTATTGAATCGTATAACACATATACTGCTAAGTTTTTCAAAAAGAAAGGAAGAAAGTGATTTATCTTTATAGCACATTGGGTTTAATTTTGCTGGAAATTGAAAGTGGTTTATTAAATTTATAAAATTTACATCACAATAGCACATGTAGAGAAGGTTTTTTTCCACATATTTTTTAAATTAAGCCAACCCGTACAGCGTGTAATTTCTTTAGTACTTAAAAAAAAAAAAACAACTATATATATATATATATATTTATTTCCATCTATACAGTCACCAGCTGATCTCTGACCCACCCATCATCGAGGCTGTAAGGCTAAAACATTAACATCATTTTAAATAACAGGGCAGAATGTACATTCATCCATCGTTGCATATGGTACTGCTGACTCGTTCTGCTCTACATGGAATGCCACCTAGTAAAGGCAACTACCCATAAACCTCTTTTATATCAAAAAACTCAGTACACTTTTTAATTGCAAATCTGCACATTTCTACGACATGATGAACATTCACACACATGGACACAAACAACCAAAAATATTACGGACATGGACATATGCTGCCAAGAGGTAGGAACACACACACACACACACACACACACACACACACACATCTACACACACACACA